AAGCCTGCAAAGAACGCTTATCGTTCATTCAGGTTCCAAAGAAAATCTTCGATTTTGGCACCTTCCAACTGGCTGGTAAATATCATGGAGAAACCAGAGATTGTCTGCATCGAGCATAGATCGACACATTTTGTTAAATGTGTTTTTGTATCAAAAACTGTATAGAAACTGTAGAAATGTTGTTTTTGGAGTTAAATAAAGTGAATGTTCAAAGGAGCGAGTAACTCAAAATTGGGGACGCTTCATACCCCAACTCGGATCGCACCTCGCCCAACTCCGATCTGAGCTCCGAGCCTTCCAACTTTCTGATGTGAAATGCCACTTGCACGAATACATGGATAAAGGGTAAAGGGTGAGGAGGAAAGGGGAGGGGTGGCGGAGAGTTGGGGAGGGGAAAGGTGAAGGACGGATGAAGTTCATATTGGAGGTTCAAGCCGTTTAGGAGATTTCCAGTAAAAATAAATACCCCGTCCCAATCCAAATGTAACCGTCGTTATCGCATGTGAATTCTAAAGGTGTGGAGACCGAGCGGATTGCGTCCTCCTTCTGGGGATTAGCTATTGAGACAGAGAAATCACGCATGAAATTGGAGAGAGACCGAACGTAGTAGTCGCTAAGTATAAATACCTTTGACGGATCGTAACACCCTACAAAATACCTTTTCACAGGTTTCGTAGCTCAGTTTCGACCGACTTCCTCGGCTGTTAAAGACGCCCGTATTCTCGATCGTTCAGGAGGACATTCGCCCGTTTTGAGAATTGATTTCATCTGGTACCATGAAGGCTTTGAGTGACCGCAGGCGAACGTCGGAGGTCACTCCAAGCCTTACTAGCCTTGTACTACCCTAGCAAGCCTTCACATAGTACTGCTGCTTAATAAGTGTAAGAGGGGATTGTCTGGACCGTTTCAGGTAAATTGATCACCGTCAAACATTTCCTTTCGATTCCTCTTGTCCTGGTTTCGAAAGAATTGAGTTCAGTTCCGTTTTTGCCTTCCTCGTTCTTTGATGCAGTTTTCGACGATTCCATAATGAAATCTTCCTTATTGTCGTTCAATTGCGTCGATGTCACCCTTCTCGATATCGTGCATCATGTACCGTATGTCTCAGTCAAAAACAATAAAAAACATTTTAGCATGCTGTCAGCTCTCGTCATTCTGTGCTTCATGCCAATTGCAGCAGCTCTTGGGCGCACACAAGCGGTCGGTGTCAAAGGAATCCTAATATGCAATGATAAACCGGCAGCAGATGTGGAAGTCAAGCTTTACGATGAAGATAAACGTAAGTATTGGATTTTTTCATTCAACCTATGGCTTAATGTGGCATAAACAGTTTGAGATGGTAGACTGCCACTTCTAAATCATGTTGAAGGAGAAACATCTGGGAATCCAGGAAAAAAATGTACACTGTGTAACATAAAGATTAATTATTAGATCGCAACTAGATAGGTTCTGCAGCCCTGTAAGTGCTCAAAAGGTACTTTGGTTCCCAGCAAATTGAAATGTGGCGCAGCTCCTCGATCACGTTAATCCAGTTCATTGGAATTCAAATTCTGAGCTACTTTTTCGCCAGTTACAAATCTATATTTCCACGGTAAGTCTATGTATGAACCCCACAAGAGCCATAGTATCTTGTCAGCCTTTAGTTGGTAGTGGTTATTGTCAGATTATTCAATCTGATCTTCGAAGTTAGGGTTTTACAGAGTTTTGTGATGATTAAAAATACGTATAAGGCATCAACCCTTCGAAAGCCTATCGGTTAGGCTACAGGACAAGTCCCAGTAGCCAGACTGGTGATCCACCAGTCCCACTCTTTTATGAGGAATTCCAGAGCTTCCGACAGTTACAATGTTCATAAAGCCTGTTCGCAATCCCATATCATCGGGACAAAGCCCAATTTAGATATTAAAAGGGTGTGTTGAAGCGAGCAACCCACATTGTACCCAATGCACTTGCCCAAGAATTGTGGATGTTCTCAGAAGTGCGCACTGTCGTAAGCCCTTTCGCTCTCAATATTTCTGGTCTACCTCTTCAATCTTGCCAGCGTCGTTCCAGTAGTAGGGAAAATAGCTTATTGTTAGCATTGACTGATCTGATTACTCATCTGCCCCACCTATTCCCAGAAAAGAGTTTGAATACGTGAATGTCTTGTAGTTTTGTGCTAACGGCTTCCAATGTTCCTTCCAATAACGCAGCAACCTTTCGAAAACCTATCGGTTAGGCTGCAGGAAAAGTCCCAGTAGCTAGACTGGTGAGCCACCAGTCCTACGGCATCCCCCTCGCTTAATACACAGCCTGGTAAAAACGAGATTTGAATAAGTGGAAGCTTGAACGGAAATAGTAATTTCGATCAAAAGAAGCGACACGTTCAGTTCAACGAATCCATGTTTATTGTTCGATCAACAGAGAAAAGGAGTTCATTTAGTTAGCCCTGACGAGCTGATGGCAGCAGGAAAAACTGATAGCCGTGGCCACTTCGAAATCAGTGGACATGCTGATGAGTTCACATCAATAGAACCAAAGTTCAACATCTACCACGACTGCAATGATGGTATCAAGGTAAGCGTTTGATTTTACCCTTAGATATCCTCCTATTTCTAAGGGATTTAATTTTTTGTTATAGCCCTGCCAACGCAAGATTACCATCCACATTCCAGATGACTACATTAGCAGTGGAGAGGTAAGCACAGTACTAAGCGATCAAGCCAGGTCTTTTGAAACTTCTTCCAAATTTTGCAAGAATCGAAGCCTGAAACATTTTTGAGCAGCAGAAAATTAAATTTTTATTAATCGCAGATGACCAAAGTAAACCCTTCTTACTTTTCGGCAAAATACTACATTCATTTCAGACGCCAAAAAAGTTCTTCGACTTCGGTACTTTCCAACTGGCTGGCAAGTATTCAGGAGAAACCAGAGACTGTATTCACCGGATTTAGATGGAGTACCACTGCCAATTGCTTTTACCTCAAAACGCCAAAACGCCTCAATATGCTATGAAAAGATTTACTGCCATTGTTCACTTTACTTCGCTATTTCACTTATTGTTTGGTATAAAGGCCTAGGGATCATTTTTACGTTTACCAGTTTCGTTTTGAGACGCACTATGCACTCGACCTCCGCTCGGAATCGTAAAGATGCATTCGAATGCATATGTTTCCTATGCAATGAAGTGCAGTGACCAGCCGATGGAGAAGACGTTGTTTTATCCTTCATAATGGGTTCATAGAACTAAACAATCGACCCCAGAAGGTATGGAAGGCTTAATGGGTCGTCGGAGGGGGATAGGTGGCGGGGGGGGGGGG